GGGGAACTTGAACTATATTGTACCAAATCGACTCCACAAAGTTCATGACAACGACACCGTACGTAGTTACACGAGCGAACTCCCCGACCACTAGGAGCTCCTTCCACGCGCACCACCCACTGAAACACCACGATACCAGTGCGAATACTAGGTGTGGAAATGTTAGGTTGTGTCAAAGGGTGTTAACCCCCCCCCCTCCTTTCTGTTCCCCCCTTGATTAAAGTTATATCTCAAAACATGTATAGCAAAGATTGTACAACCCCACTATGTTCGAATGAAGCTCCCCCTTCACTTCTGTACCCCATTTCCTTGTCTTTATGAAAATAAAATTTCACTATACAGTGAGCACTATTGGTTGTCTCTTCTTCTCTTTGAGAATTGGTCACCCCTGACGGAGAGATATCCCACCATATATCCCATAAGTGGAGATTATACTGCTGTGGGCGCTTTACCTCAGAGCTGGATATAAGCTCTCGCAAATGTGTGTTTTCCATCATTATCTCTTAGTACGTCTTAAATTGAGTCTGACATACTGCACCATTGGTTGTCCGTCTTTTCTCTCTTTCATATAAGAGGACCCACTATTGTTTTTGAAGAATCAACCATTTTACCAGCCTTCCACATAGACTCTCCGTAAGGACATACTATCTGGACTTTTTATTTGTTTTTTATTTGGATTTTATGTGGCGCAGCCCTTTTTTACTGTTACTTCTACCCATTTATATATGCAATCATTTCAAAATTTAATCATAGTGGCCTATTGAAAAAGGGTGGGGGAGAAGGTGGTGCTTACTCATCACCATTAGCAAGCACTACCCCTCTCAAAATGAGCATGTTGGTTCAGTGCTCTTCCAGGGCAGACCATGTTCAGAATCCTACTGAAGAGTTCTCACATGAGTAAAAAGGCCCTGCATTTTTTCTGCACCGAACAAGCAAATTTAATGACATGGATGCACTGTGTTTGCTTGTGACTTGTCTCTGGTGTCTACATAAGTTGGATACCAGAGGATAAAATGGCCTGGAAAACATATTGTGCATGTGTTTGGAGGCCATTTGTGGGATTGCATGTGTATGGGGTTTGTGTTGTGGTGTTTTGTGTAAATAGGTCGGTTTCAGTGGTGTTGTGTTTGTGGTGAAAAATGTGTGGCTATAGGCTGTAGAGAATGAGAGAGTGTGTGTGTAGGTGCATAGGGGGTGTAGTGTGTGTGTACAGGTAAAGTATTGCATGTAGGGACTGAAAAGAGAGTGTGTGGTTAGGGAATAAGGTGTGTGTGTATTTGCATACAGGGGATCTTGTGTGTGCATAGGGTATTCAGAGTGTGTAAATCAGGAATTATGTATGTGTGTCGGTGGAGCAGTGTGTGTCTACAGGGGATCGAGTGTGCGAGTAGAGTATCCAGAGTGTGTATAGGGGATTTAGTGTGTATTTGTGTAGAGGGTACAGAGTGTGTGTAAATGGTAGAGTGTGTGTTTATAAATGTAGTGTCTATAGTGGATCTATTGTGTAGGCGTGCAGTGTGTGTGAGGTACAAATGTGTGTAGTGTTAGAGGTACTGTGTGTGAAGGGAGAGCAGATGGAAGCAAAGCAATTTTTTTTTTATGAAGAAACAAACGTTACCTTACCTTTTCTCAGAGAAGGTGAACATAGTAAACCTTGGTGGTCCGATGGTGAATGAACTGTAGCCTGCAGCTCCTAGGGCAAGAGTGCATTGTCGCGAGATCTGTTACCATTGGTTTCCATGGCAATGCCCCGACCTGCAGGCTAGAGTTCCCAGGCCCTTCCCCTCTCCTCTCTGCCAAAATTAATTGCCAGTGGGCCAGTTAGATAGCTCTTTTATTTCCCCATTGGCCCTCGTGGCACACAGTACAGCTGGTGCTTGGAGTGTGCTGGCTCTGCATGGGGCGGCAAGGGAGACCATATGATCTCTACTGCCGGTCTTGACCCATGGCCTTGGTGGCCCACTGGACATTTTCCTGGATTTCCCAATGGCCAGTTCGGGCCTGCTTGCAGCTACAGGGGTGCAACCTGGCACTCTGATCTCCATCACAAATATTCTAGACACTCTGGTACCCATTTATATTTGCAATTATTCCTCTAATTCCTAAAATATGATATGCATTGGTCAATGATCCAACTCAGAATAATCATCCGGTTGCAGAAACCATTCATATCAATTCTGACCCCTGCTACTCTCAAATGCTGACTCTATTTACACAAGGTTGATGGAAGTCAGAGATTCAGGTTCAGCATTTTTATAATAAACTTGTATTTTTTTTAACCTATATTGCAAAGCAATATTATTTTTTGGATACTTTTCTGTCTTGTCTACCAGAATTATGGCTGTTTGTGTTGTGAAATATGATCTCTTGTACCTAACATGGAACAAGGATAAAAACTGATATATGCATATATATAAACCCCTTAATACTATTTTAAGTCATGTTTGAGGATTAAAGGTCTTGATATTACAAGTATTAAAACATCGAGTACAATGCCAACATTTATAATCTGAAATTAGTACATCAATATACTTCAGTCAAATTATGTTTTAGATGGCTAATATACCTTTGACAAATTTGTTTCTTACATTGAGTAATATCTTATATATTATTTTAGGCTGTAATACATATATATAATTTTTGCTGAGGTCAACCGAAAGTAAAAATGTAGAAAGACACAAAGTATAATGAAGAACTGAATTTACTGTTTATAAGCAGTCTCCAATATAATCTAGACTATATAGTGAATGTTTTTCTTAATTGACTAATAATGAAATGGATTCATATGTCATTTAATAGTATACATGCAATCTCCACAAATTATCATTTGATTACTCTGACACTTGGAAGGCACTTGCTTACAGGAAATCTATTTTTATTCTTTATTTGTCTTATTGGTTTTCAAACACCATAAATGAGCATAGTATAGTGATACAATAAAAGTCATAAGAATATAGAGTTGGGTGATACAGGCTCTCCATGCACAGCACGCCTGTTTACAGCAGTATTCGCCATTACATGAAGTGTGCGAATGCTTTCCTCATTCAAGATGCACTAGTGGTACAGGTATTGATATTGTGTTGTGTGGCCATTCCCTTACAATACAGTTATCATTCTGGGAGTGTGGGACTGCTAGTTGTGTTTAGCTGTTTTGGTTGTTCTCCCTTTCCATTCAATCACGAGAAGGTGGGGACTCGAAAGAAACTATGCGTAGTAATTGGGCACTTTGTAGTCATGAGTCATAGTGTGGAGTCCCTGAGTGCTGTGATCGGTCTGGGCAACCTTTGATCTTATGTGGAAGTTCTAGTGTACCATATCGGGATCATGGTTATGTGGTGAGTGTTGTACTGCTCTTTTGGGTGGGCTGTTATTGGTCTTTGTCTGAGGCCTGAGGTGTGTCTAGACCGGGTCATTGGGATATGGAAAGTTTGCATAGGTGTTCAGCCCAGGAAGGAACTGAATGTAGAAGTGAAACAGAACTGGGGAAAAGAGAAGAAGGGGAAAGAAGAGAGACTCGATCTCTGAGTCCCACGCTCCCGCTTCTCCCTTTTGGAGGGAAGTTGGGGTTGGGATCAAGTTCGGCAGTGGGAGAGCTTTCTTTGTTACTTGTCCATGAATCCTGTGTGTTGAATCCTGGGTGTTGCGATCAACTATCACCACAGTAGGGATGTGTCCCCCTCCAGTCACGGATGAAGTCAGCCTGTCAAGTTCGATGCTGTCTTGGATCTTTTTAGCTATCACTCGTTGTGTGGGTATACGTAGTGTCGACCATACCTCTCCTATCGCCCTGCATGCTGCAAGAGCTACTCGTGCTATCAGTTTGTTTTGGCTCTAGTGAAGGGTTCTAGGGATTTGGAGAGTAATAAGGCCCACGGTCCAAGGGGCATGGTTTTGTCAGTATATGGGTGAGTAGTGTAGTGATGGATTGCTACAGAGGTTTTAATTTTGGGCATGTCCACCAGCAGTGGTAGAATGATCCTGCTTCTCCTCATAGTTTCCAACAGAGGTTGGAGGGTAGCTGATGCATGGCTGCCAGTCTCTGGGGTGTGAGGTACCAGTGAAATAGCATTTTGTAGACCTGTTCATTATGGGTCACGCATGTAGTGATGGAGGACATTGCTTCCCATATCTCTGCCCAGTCTGTGGTCTCTTCGGGTAACCCTAGGACTTTTTCCCAGGCTGCAATATATGTAGTTGGCTTGGTATAGTGTGCTCACATCGTTTATGAGTTTTATACCTAGGTACGCAATGGAGGGTTCGCAGATGCATAGTGGAAATTTGTTCGGCTCATCTATATGGATCGGGAGGAGATCCGACTTATCCAGATTCAGCTTGTAGCCTGATATCTAGCCTGATATCTTTGCATATGTGTGAATCAGTTGCAGCAAAGCTTCTATAGAAGTGATCGGATTTGTCAACGTCAGAAGGACATCATCTGTGCATGCTGATACTTTATATGATTGTACCATGATGGTGTCCCTTCCACTCCAGGGCATGATCTTATCGCTCTGGTAGTAGTTCTAGCGAGATGGCAAATAGTAAGGGCAAGAGTGGGCAGCCCTGTGATAGTAAATCAGGTAGGTTAATGTTAGGCAGGAGCAGCGCGCCTTGAGGCGTATGATATGTGGCCTCCAGAAACGTTATGAAGGAGGGGGGGGAACTTAATATATGTAAGCATGTGGGTTAAGTAGGGCCAGAGAAGGCGATCAAACGCCTTCTCAGTGTCCAGGGAGATGATTGTAGTGGGAATGCCTCTGTGTTCGGCGAACCACGTTAGATCAATGGCTCGTCGTGTGTTGTCCATTGCTTGTCTATGTGGGCAGTGTTTTATGTCCAGCTAATGAGTGAAATGCCTCTGGTGAACTTAGATGGACAGATGGGAGCCACTGGTGATGTCCAGTCCCCTAGCGCTGCAGGCAATGTAAGGAAAACTGCTGATGGTGCTTCTGGGAGCAGGCTGATGAAAGTTTCTCTGATGGCTGCATTGAGCATGTCTGCAGTCACTGTTTCTGGCAGGCCTCAGGCCTAGACCTGTTGTTTAAGTCTTCCAGGTTACACAGTTGGTCTTGGTGGTCTGGGATGGCGGAATCGTGGTTGGAGGTAGTTGTGGTAAGGTCCTCCATTTTGCCTTCTATTGCGTCAAGGCCTGCTTTAATGTGTTTCGCCAGTTCAGTGGCCATGTTGGCATTAATGTCCCTGATGAACCCTTTAAGATCCTTCTTGGTTACTGGTGCAGTGTCTCTGCCGTTACTCAGATCACTAATTTCTGAATCGTAGTCTGATTCTGGCGGGTCGTCTGCACGAGGCGGGCCCCTCTCTGTGCGGCTGCGGAATATTGGGGCTACGGCCAAGTCCTGCTTGGACATCCTCCCTCCGCCCATAGTTAGCACTTATAGGGGGTCTATGGCAGCGGGTAAGGTAGGTACCTGGATTTTGCAGCAGCAATTGATGTTGAAAATAGATGTTAAAGTCGCCTGACAGTGCAGAGCTCTAGTCAGACGTTTCCATCTGCACCAGAAGTCAGACGCCGCCCCCCCGCCGCAAACTTTTTATGAGTAGAAAGGAGGAAAATTAACATAAAAAGAGTCATGACATCTCCCGACCTAGGGATTATCCAGTTTTGCTGTGAGCTCCTTATAAATGTTACTAATAGGTTATTTGTTTTCTGTTTATTATGGGGTTTTTTTTTGCTTACACTCGATAACCATGTGCTCCTCTAAGTACCGAATTGAGGGTCAATTATCTTTTTTTTTCTGACCATTACAACACAGGGCATGGTTATAAAAATGATCTCTAAATGAGTACTCTTTGCAATTCTCATGGTCTGAAATGTAATTTAAGGTTAACTGTTGAAGTCAAGACAAAACCTGGAACTGTTAGAAATAGCGTTACTATGTGTTGACTAAAAGGGTGCCCACACCTTTACATATGCCATATTTATTAGGTTTTTTTTCAGTCTTTTAAAGGAACATTACATAACTTTATAAATAGATTCCTTTTTACTGCTGGAGTATTTCTTAACTTTGTGGTATGCCCAACTCCCTTTAAAATGAAAAGAAAACAAATCTGTTAAACATGTCCTGGTCTCGCCATGGCAGCTACTCTTCATCTTCTAAAATCATCCTCATTAATAATCTCTGGCCAATTTAGTGTTCATAGAGAAGCATCAGAGCCCTAATGGGCATGATGGTGTATATTTAATTCCCAACAGCTCATAGTGATGCAATTAAGCATATAATTTATTATACACTGCAAAGAATTGTGCAATAATTACATTATTAGAAAAAGTGCAACATGCAAAAAATGTGATCTAATTACTAGCATATTTACAATTTTAATGAGTCGTAGAATAACGTGTTATTCATTACAGCTTGAAAAAATGAACAAGAGATTTCCAGCATAATTCAGGACCCTCCAACAGGCCAGAATGCGACAATATCATAATGAGTATCATTGAAAACCCATATTCTAAAATTCTGACCTCTTGCTCAGTCTGGAGGGTCTAAATCCTACAACTGAAGACTTAGAAAATCTAGTTACACACCACAACCTTGAATACCATAGAAATTGAATAGTACAGTAAATGATACAAAATCTCAAACAACACACGTTCACATAAATCCATTTCTGACAAACACAAATATGTTTTGGATGTATCTTTATACCACTTATATATGAAGAGAACTATTATTTCTATAACATTATTTGTTTTTACTGAATTATTGTACAGTTTTTAGTCCTAAAAGTTGCGTACACCTGCACCAAGAACCCAACCAACCCTTGTTCCTTCTAACTTACTTGCAAGTTCTCCAACTGCTTGAGCTCTCACTCAATTACATCCTGATTTGCTTTACATGCTATCAGTGGCGACAGTTATCCTTTAATTGTTCCAAACATCACCCCCAAAATGTTTAACCTCTAAATTGTAACCTCACATGAGATTTAGCTAAGTGCTTTGTATAGAAGAGCTTCAGTGGCTATATCTCAGCTCATCGAAAGGCCCTTTTTACCTTTTGTATTGGTCTGTTTATATTCTATTGTCTGCAGAATATTTTGCTGCTTCATAAATGCCAATAATAATAATAATAATAATAATACTTTTATGACTATTATGCTCCTTGTGGTGTCCTGGTTGTATAATGTGTATTAATTTAGAAAACATTATTTTGTATTTATCAATCCTAAATGTCTTGTGAATTAATGTCTCAAAAGAAGGCTGATGTAGAAAACAAATACTTTAGGCATGTGTGTGAATACAAAAGGCTAAGGTATTGAAGCAAGGCACCCTAAAACGACACTATTCTGCTTCTGTTTCATTGTTTTAGTTTCACTTTAACAGTGCTTAAGTCTGGGAGCTGTTCGGAACTGATGACTAAGCTGACACAACTGGTTGTCACTCAAGCCTAGTGATATTTCTGTCACAGACTCTGTCACAAAACTGATACACTCAATTAGCAAGCCATTAGCACTCATACAAATATAGAAATGAAAAATTCTAGAAACAATAGCTCCTGCAGGGAAAAGAAAAACGTCATACAAATATTAAATTATTAAAATTGCTATAGGGTACATTTACTCATGTAGATGCTCACCCTTTTATCCATGGGCAGTAATTTAAATGCTTTATTATTCACTTATATATACATATAACTATACCGTTCCTTAGTTGCTGTGTTTCTTCTGTGTCTCTCCTCCTGTATAACCTCCCATTTGTGTCTCTCTTCTTGTACAAACCCCTATCCGTGTCTCTCCTCCTCTGCAAAACCCCAACTGTGTCTCTCCTCCTGTATCACCTCCCATTTGTGTCTCTCCTCCTGTGCCAACCACCATCTATGTTTCTCCTCCTGTGCAAACCCTTATCTGTGTCTTTCCACCAGTCCAAACTCCAACCTGTGTCTCTCCACCGGTCAAAACTCTTAATCTGTGTCTCTCCACCAGTCCAAACCCCAAAAATGTGTATCTGCACCTGTGCAAACCCCCAGTCTGTGTCTATCCATCTGTCCAAACCCCCATCTGTGTCTCTCCTCTTATCCAAACTCCCAGTCTGTGTCTATTCTCCTGTCCAAGCCCCCTTCTGTCTCTCTTCCTATTAAACCCCATCTGTGTCTCTCCCCGGTTAACCCCTATCTGTGTCTCTCCCCGTTAACCCCATCTGTGTCTTTCCCCCGGATAAACATTAATTTGTGTCTCCACGTTAACTCCATCTGTGTCTCTCCCCCTGTTAACCCCATCTGTGTCTCTCCCCCTGTTAAGCCCCATCTGTGTCTCTCCTCCTGTTAATTCTCATCTGTGCCTCCTCTTCTGTGTTTCTGCCAGTGTGTATGATTTAGCTTTTTTTCCCACTTGTTCTCCTAACCCTTACTTGCCTGATATGCAGTCTGCTGCTGGCTGGGAGATACAGGCTGAACTTGTTGTGCAGTGCCGCTTTCATGAATTCAGTCAGTAGAGAGAGGCAGGGAGATTAGGTAACTTCCTATCCTTGCTTCTCTCCACACATAGCACACCCTATTTGCCATCGCTGGTATTGCAGAACTGAAAAAGAATAACGGCATTTGCATTGCTGATGTTATTGCAATACCAGGCAGCCTCAAATACCGGCCAGTCAGTAACCTGTTGTGACTAGAACATGGTTATTAAATAGCCAGAAATTTAGGTAAATTACTATGCATTAACAATAATATTGATGAAAGCAATATTAAATGGACACACTACAGGCACTGTAACTCTTTTATCTGAGTTAAATGGTTATAGTGTCTGGAGTTGTCTGGCACCATACCTCCATTCAGTGTTAAAGAAGCACGCCAATGAAAAAAACAAATATTTTTATCATTTTTGAAAACAATTTAGTAGCTATAACCATAAAAACAGAATGTATGTAGTTTTTCTGCATTTGTGAGGGGGATATAAAAAAGAGCTTGCTAAATCTGCAGACAGCAGCTCTTTGCAAGCCCTTCTCCCTTTCTCCTAGCACAAACTGAATGGAAATATATTGATTATAGGCTTCTCATTGAAGGCAATGATTGCAGGTTTCCTAATACAGCTCATTGAGAAGGGAAAGTGTTAGGTAAGCTCTACGTTAGTGCACCTACTGTTTCCATTAAAGGGACTCTCCAGTGCCAGGAAAACATATCCGTTTACCTGGCACTGCAGGATCCTGCAGTGCCCCTCTCCCTCCCAACCCCCATCCCAGGTTGCTGAGGGGGTTAAAACCCCTTCAGTGACTTACCTGAATCCAGTGCCGATGTCCCTCAGCGCTGGTCAGGTTCCGCCCATGCTTCTCCCCCACTGACGTCAGCTGGCGGGGGAAAGCTAATGCGCATGCGCGGCAATGGCCGTGCATGCCCATTAGACCTCCCCCATAGAAAAATAATTATTCAATGCTTTCCTATGGGGATTCTGGCGATGCTGGAGGTCCTCATGCATAGCGTGAGGTCGTCCAGCGTCGTTTAAAACACTTTTCGTATTCTAAGAACACGGAGGTCCCTCTAGTGGCTGTCTGATAGATAGAGGAGGACTTAACCCTGCAAGTGTAATTATTGCAGTTTATAAAAACTACAATAATTACACTTGCAGGGTTAAGGGTGGTGGGAGTTGACACCCAGACCATTCCAATGGGCAGAAGTGGTTTGGGTGCCTGGAGTGTCCCTTTAACTCAGTGGAACAATCTGAAGTGCTTTGTGTGTGTGGAGTTTATCTTTAAACCATTTTAAAAGATTTTAATGCTAAAAAAGATTCCCCAGCAGGTCATCTGCTTGCATTCATGAGGGAGCATCCATCTGAGCAGCAATAAATGTCTGTGATAGACTAATAGCAGTTAGCAGACACTCTCAACAATTACCCATTACTGGGATGAATTGGTGTGGTTAGAAGGAATAGTACAATCCTTCCCGTAGGGGCTGGACTGTGGGAAGCCAGGTACTCTCATTCAGTATTAAACTGCTTGTGACAGACACTTCCGCCGACGGATGCTCCTAGCACTGCTGAAGGACCATCAGCACTGCACTTGACACCATAGGCACTGCAGACTCCACGAACCGCCGTAGCTTGGTTGGGATCTTGCCGTCCCCTCCAAGAGAGTATAGCTGGGTCTCTCCTCCAAGAGAGTATAGCTGGGTCTGTCCTCCAAGAGAGTATAGCTGGGGCTCTCCTCCAAGAGACTATAGCTGGGGCTCTCCTCCAGGAGAGTATAGCTGTATAGCTGAAGAGAGCTCTTACAAGAGCTAGCAGTGATATAGCTGTCCCCTACAACAAGAGACAAGGCTACAAGTTGAGGGTAAGAAGATCTAGTTTATTGAGTGCAAGGGGCATTTCTTTTATACAGTTTTCCCCACAAGGTTACCACCCACGTGGACCTTGTTGGGCACCGACAACACAAACTTAACACCCAATCATTTACAGACACACAGTTAAACACTCCCATCCATTACTGTAAAATTCCTCCCCTCTGCTTGGGAGATAATTGAGTTAATTGCTGTATCAACTCAATTATCTCCAAGCGCAAAATATACTTTTTATATAAATTTTATAACTACAAAACCATACATTCAATCCCAATAAATTACATTTTCAGACCCCATACTTAGGGGACAAACATATCCAAAAATCATGCGAATTGGTCCAGTGGTTCGGGAGATAGCTGGAAGTCCCATTTTGACCGACCGCATGCACATTTTCATGCCCAAAACAGTTCCAGAGATTTGGGCCGTGTGGCCGGTCCATTCACCTTAGTTCAAATACTGTTGAAATGCATGAACGGGGTTGTTCTTGCAATTAGCACTGTTAATGTGGTGTACGTATTGTCGAAAGCCCTTCGACTCTATTCGAAGTGTTGAAGTTCCAGAGAAGACAGAAGTTCAGCGCTGTTCATGCCGTCGCGTATCCAATTTCAGTTCCATGAACTTGACTACCAAACACCGCTGAACGTGTTCAAATGAATTAAAATGGCCACCGCCACGTATTCGTTTGTCGAATGGCGGGCACTTCGACTACTTCGGCACTTCGGCTGCCTCCGAAGTGCCACTTCAAAAGGGCAGAATTGTAGCAATACAATTTAAAGGGCCAGAAACAGTCTCCAAAGTACAATAGCCATAAATAGAGGCTTTTAAATGGCAATAACTTCATTAGTCCTCTCCAAGCACAAATGGCGAAAGGCACTTCGTCACACTGCTATTAAAATGGTTTAACACTAAATGCTGGGCCAGTGCCCGAGGACCCCATGCTTTATAATAAGTGACATGAAAGTGCCTACAGTGTTCCTTTAAATCTTCTTCTTTTGGATTGTAGAGAAGGCATTCATGGATAGAACTTACACTAGGATACTGCTTTCAGAACCTGTCCTCAAAGTACCTCCCCTGGTAACAGATTAAGTACAATTTCCTAAGCATAAGAAAAAAAATACTTGACTATATGCTTGAACTGGTGGTTCTTTGAACATGTGTGAGTAGTACAACAGTTAAATTAAGCTGCAAAATGGCTTTACAATAGACATCTCTCAGTTGTTGTCCCCCAAGGTTCAGTCCTTGGTCCCCTACTGTGCTCTATCTATACTGCCTCCCTTGGCAAACTCATTAGCTCCTTTGGCATCTAAAATAATTGCTGTCAGATTTAGAGCTCAATTTAAAATTCTGGCTCTTGCTTTCAAATCTCTACATAATGCTGCTCCCACCTATCTATCCTCCCTAATACAAAAGTATGTTCCGTCTAGGCCCTTACGCTCTGCTGAAGACTTACGTCTATCTTCTGTCCATACTCCCACCTCTGATGCTCGCCTTCAAGACTTCTCGAGGGCTGCACCGTTCCTGTGGAATTCCCTTCCCTCCTCCATTAGATGCTCACCCAGTCTCCACTCATTCAAAACCCACTTCTTTATAAAAGCATATCAATTAAACTGTTAATAGCTCCTGACTGATTCCTCTTTTGCAACTGTCATTAGTCTAATACTATCCTTACCTTTTGTGTCACTTTATCCCACTCCCTCTAGCATGTAAGCTCATTGAGCAGGGCTCTTGACCCCTCTGTTCCTGTGTGTCCAACTTGTCTGGTTATAACTACATGTTATGGAATTTGTTGGCGCTATATAAATAATAACATAATAGTAATAAAAGAGGGACACTCCAGACCCTTTACTTATCTGTGTATGTGTGTGTGTGTGTGTGTCCATTATTTTATTTCACAAAGAAATCAAATCGAAATTTGTACTTTCATAAATTAACCTTGTTATCCCCCACTGGCTGTCAATCAGACAACCTAATTCTATTATTTCCAGGTAGTATAGCTCAGTAGAGCTAAATTCAAGAGGCAGCAATTGCCCAGAGCACCTGCGTTGACAAAGACTTCTCATTGAGTTGTATTGGGAAGTCTGTGATTGGACAGCCACAGAAAGCCTGGGCAGGGTTAAAATGGGATGGCTTGCAAAGGATTTAAATAAGATATAGGTGTTTTTAGATAAAGCCCAATGAAAAAAATGCACTGTTAAATTTAAGATTTTTTTAAATTGTATTTTATTTTTTGCTCTTGGGCAGTGGAATGTCCCTTTAAATATTTTTCTGTTTCTGCTGCCAATAGATTTTACCCTCAATCCATCAGTAAACTCAATCCCTCAGAGGGACAAACAAATAACAACATGGGGAGACGAGAACAAAATGGCTGCAACCAAATGTTGAGATCCGGCACAAGGAAGAAATTAAATAAATATAAATAGAGGCAATGGGGACTATATGATCATGAAGATATAAGGGGCATAAGGAAAATAAAAATAAAAAAATTGACAGGGTTGCTTTTACATACTCTGTAAATGGCACTAGCAAAAACAAATTTGGACATTGTATCTTAAAGGAACTGCCACCTGAGTTGGTAACATATTAATACATTGTAAATGTGCCCATTTAATACACTTCAGGAAGCACAAAATCAGGTTGCTTTATTCTGCTTCATATGAACATCACCATGATTTGATATATCTTAAAGGAACACTTCAAGCACCATAACCACTGTAAGCAGAGTGCGGTGGTTATGGTGAAGGTCTGCCCTGGCTACCCAATCATTGTAAGAAGGTAAACTGTTTTAGAAAAGTCAGACTTTTTGCATGGGGTCATCAAAATGCCACTCCCTACCTCCACTACCTCCACTAGAGAGCCGAAAACTTCTAAGTTGTTGATCATTCTCAGCCAATGAGAAAAGTCTGGCACTGCCAGGCCTAATATCAGACAGAGTGTACGGCTCACTGGATCACTGTCCACTGTAATACTGTAGCAACCAGTACTCTCCTGGTTTATCTCAGTCTATTTTCACTTAGTCAAAGTCTCTGTAGTCTTACTGAGCATTATTAAATATAAGTAGATGTCTAAACAGATTATTTATCAGAGAACAGAGCTCTTGTAATGGCTTGTTGTTGCATTTGAGTAAAATTAGAAATGAAAGGCTGACACGTTGGGTTGCAAAACAAGAGTCTCCTCCATCCATTCATTGGGCATGTTAAGCAACTGCTGCCATAAGCAGTGGGCTGATTGGTGAGCTTCAGAGGTATTGATGTCCCCTCCTACAATAGAGCAAAATTATGACATTTTTAGTTTAGAAATGCATTTAAAATGTTAGTCACACAAACAATGTATAAAATGCAACAACATAAAATAGTATGTAATGTGGTGACAATAAATTCTTAGAATTATTGAATGGGGTTCCTGTTTAAATGATATATTTAAATCAAACATTGAGAGATATGCAGTGGTTAGATATGGGCATTGAGAGGAGGTGGCATGCCTAAAATTTTTAACACATCACAGGAGGCTTCATATTATTATTTTCTTTACTGATCTCCCAATAGCAGCACAAGTGAACAGAACATTAACTAATCGTAAAACAGTAGAAAAATTATATAAGCCCTAACCTACAAAGGTATCTCCTCTATATTTGCTGCTCCTGGATATCAGCACAGGTCAAAGAGTCACCGTCATTTCATGGATGATATTCCAATTATTCTTTTGTATAATCTCTGTATCACTTTAATGAAATCCCTTTAAATTTTAATTGTCTATATTCTATTTATTCCTTCCCATTTATTGCCCTTTACCTATATATTTTCCATTGGCTTTATCCTTTCCAAGTTCCTGTCAGGGTTGCAATTCGATTTTCTATATGTTTTTTATCTTGTTTCAGTCACTTACTCAACTTCCTTCCAGTGCCCCCCTTTCCTGTCAAACTGGGAGAATTGGTCTGTATCCTTCCCTAATCGTGGTGGCCATATTGGTTCTTGCGCATATGCAAGTTTTATGTCAGCCATTTTGTGTTTACAGGTGCGCTATGTACGCTATACCTTGTGTTTATCAAGTTGCCTTATCCTTGCTCTATATAGGTATACATTCTACTTTGTTTGGCCACATTTATAGGTTCTGAATGCAGTCCTCATGGTTATATGTATATTGTACCTACCCATTATTCTTATAGCAGTTAAGTTATACCTACTCACCAGAATTGTTACTGCTAAGGGTAACCCTCATGATGAATCTGAGGTAAGCCCCCTATCACATACTATTGAATGTGGGTTGAGCCCCCTGCGTTATGTCACTTGCCACAATACTAATATACATATTGAGGTAAGCTCCAAGGCATCATTGTATCACTCTTAAATATGGCATACTTTTATATATCATATTATTTTTATTTAGAAAGCACCAGCAAATTCCAAAGCGCTGTACAATAGGTGGACTATCAAACATGTATATGCAGCAAGACAAGCTGGACACACAGGAACAAAGGGTGTTGAAGGCACTACTTAACGAGATTAAATTCTAGAGGGAGTAAGGTGTTCTACATGGGGTAAACCCCAAGAAGGCTGACACCTAACCCATATTACATCTATTTCCTAGGTGTACCTTTTTACACCTCTATACAATATTTCTGCTAACTCTGGTGCTCTTATATTGTCTGGGTGAACCACAGTTTCTCTGAATATTTATAGTACCTAGGTGAATCCCAGAGCAGTGATCTTTGGCCTTTATATTGAGTGAACCACAGGGAGCTTATGCATTTCCCCCCTTTGATGACAGCAAAGGTTCTTCGCCATCTTCATTTACAGAGAGTGTTAATCCTGTTAATAACCCTTTTCTTGTCAGGCATGGTTCCCTGACCTCCTAGAATTATTGTGTCTGCTTCCATTATTCCAGATGCTGCTCAAAGATCCATTGGGAAATCCTCATCAACTTGTGCTCCAGGACCACCTCCACTTGGTGTCTTGGACTCTTTCCGGGGAAACAGTCAGGGATTTTAGACAGTCGAAGGATTATTGCAAATGTCTAAGACTCTTTTATGGGACTCGTGGGCTACAGCAACAAGAATATGTTAAATTTTCACCTGGAATTTCTGGTTGGTGTCCAAAATGACACCTCGATCATTCTACGCTCCTTTTCCAGTGATTAAAATTTATCCTCTGAACTCTTTTGTGCGATCTGCCATATCAACTGCACATGCTCCCATACATGGTATGCCCATTGTTTACCTTCCAGCAGGACAATGACCCCAAACACACTGCTAAAGCAACACTTGGTTTAAGGGGAGAGTTTGTAGGCACATGTGGGGCATTAAAATGTCACGTTCGCCTACTCCTAAATACTCCTCTCTGGGGGTCGTTGATGTGGTTTGATGTTTCTTGTGTGATTGAACAGACAATTCTGCTTTGTTCCTACACTACTCTCAGCTAAACGTACTCTTTCTTTCTTACAGTGCCTTGCAAAAATATTCACCCCCCTTGACTTTTTACCTATTTTGGTACATTACAGTTCATTACAGTTCAATGTTTTATTAATCTGAATTTTATGTGATGGATCAGAACACAATAGTCTAAGTTGGTGAAGTGAAATGAGAAAAATATATACATAAAACAATTTTTTAGAAATAGAAAATAGAAAATTGGTACGTGCGTATGTATCACCTCTGGTGCAACCAATTACCTTCAGAAGTCACATAATTAGTTAAATGATGTCCACCTGTGTGCAATCCAAGTGTCACATGATCTGTCATTACATATGCACACCTTTTTTGAAAGGCCCCAGAGGCTGCAACACCTAAGCAAGAGGCACCACTAACCAAACGCTGTCATGAAGACCAAAGAACTCTCCAAACAAGTAAGGGACAATGTTGTTGAGAAGTACAAGTCAGGGTTAGGTTATAAAAAAATATCCAAATCTTTGATGATCCCCAGTAGGACCATCAAATCATAACCAAATGGAAATAACATGGCACAACAGCAAACCTGCCAAGAGACGGCCGCCCACCAAAACTCACGGACCGAGCAAGGAGGGGATTAATCAGAGAGGCAGCACAGAGACCTAAGGTAACCCTGGAGGAGCTGCAGAGTATCTGTACATAGGACGACAATAAGCCATACGCTCCATAGAGGCACGTTTGGCACTTCCAAAATGGCACGTTTTGAGTTTGCGAAAAGGCATGTGGGAGACTCCCAAAATGTATGGAGGAAGGTGCTCTGGTCTGATGAGACTAAAATTTAACTTTTTGACCATTCAAAGAAAATGCTATGTCTGGCGCAAACCCAACACATCACATCACCCAAAGAACACCACCCCCACAGTGAAACATGGTGGTGGCATGGTGGTGGGATGTTTTTCAGCAGCTGGGACCAGAAAACTGGTCAGAGTTGAGGGAGAGATGGATGGAGCTAAATACAGGGATATTCTTGAGCAAAACCTGTACCACTCTGTGCGTGATTTGAGGCTAGGATGGAGGTTTATCTTCCAGCAGGACAATGACCCCAAACACACTGCTAAAGCAACACTTGGTTTAAGGGGAGAGTTTAAGGGGAAACATGTAAATGTGTTGGAATGGCGTAGTCAAAGCCCAGATGTCAATCCAATATGAAATCTGTGGTCAGACTTAAAGATTGCTGTTCACAAGCGCAAACTTGAAGGAGCTGGAGCAGTTTTGCAAGAAAGAATGGGCAAAATCCCAGTGGTAAGATGGCAAGCTCATAGAGACTTATCCAAAGCGACCTGGAGCTGTGATTGCCGCAAAAGGTGGCTCTACAAAGTATTGACTTTAGGGGGGTGAATAGTTATGCACATTGACTTTTTTTGTTATTTTGTCCTATTTGCTGTTTGCTTCGCAATAAAAAAAAAATAAAAAAAATATATCTTCAAAGTTGTGGGCATGTTCTGTAAATGAAATGATGCAATCCTCAAACAATCGATGTTAATTCCAGGCTGTGAGGCAACAAAACACAAAAAATGCCAAGGGGAGTGAATACTTTTGCAAAGCACTGTATGCCTTGTTTCTTCCTATCGTGTGTCGAACATTCACAATTTCTCTTTGCACTAAATCAAATTCGATTTATCTTTCTTATCCATTTTTTAACTAATGCTTCTAAGTTGTGTGTTTCCTCGCTTCAGCAATAAATAGATTTTATTTCTCCTCTTGTCTCGTCTCGTTCAATTAAACTCCTAATTTCAAAAGTGTGCCCTTTTAAACCAGTTTCTATGACCACTTT